ACTGTTTACAGTCACCAAATGAGCCGCCTCCTTACTGCAGTTATTCTGACTTTCATTCCAGGTCTTTACACTTGTAGAGAAATAGTAACACTGGCCATTGTGCTTCTCCCAGCCCTGAGGACAGGGATCACAGACTCGCCCTGCAAAGACATAAGAAACACTCACTCTGTCTAAAACGGCTGACGGAATCAGTGAGAATGAGAAAGTCATATTTTCACTGAAATATGTAAGTTAAGCTGAGAGAAAAAGTGTAAATTTACCTTTTTCAGTGGTGTGACAGTACTTCTGAAGGAGGGGTAACTTATTTAACAGGGCATCATAGTTTTTTTGTATTTCATCCTTATCTTTTTTCAAACTGCTGCATTGTTTCTGAAAATAATTCTTCTTACTGACGAACAGCTGCACTATTTTAACTTTCATCGTCGAAAGCTCTTCTGTTAAATTCTTGCCTGTTATGAGGTTATGTTATGTTTTAATAATTAGCAAATAAAACATAAAAATACAAATCATACATTAACATAACACTAATATTCGCATAAACTCAGTAGTACCTTTTTCAGTGGTGTGACAGTACTTCTGAATGAGGGGTAATTTACTTAACAGAGCATCATAGTCCTTATCCTTCTGCAAACTGCTGCATTGTTGCTCTTTGGTTAAATTCTTGCCTGTTTTAATAATTAATTATATTATAATAATTAATTATATTAATAATTTATAATAAATAATTGCCAAATAAAACATAAAAATACAAATGATACATTAACATACCACTTATACTCGCATAAACTCAGTAGAAAGCTACAGACATATTCACATATACTTAGGAATACAGATTTACATATTTCCTTGAGTGAAACCTAAAGTATTTTAAAGTACATTTTAAACCATCTTGGTAGACTCTGCAATTACAGGTTAAATGTTTAACCTACTATTAACAGAGTTTTGGAAATTCTAAAGCTTTAAAATGTAAAAAAAAAAAAATAATAATTCTGTTTTAAACAACTATTATTTGAAATCACTGTAGAACAATGATGTGGATGGACCTTTCACCTGCAGTACAAAGTCTAAACTTAGATAATGTATCACTGGGATGTAATTTTTATCTTTTGAATAACTGAACTTTCATTAGTGTCATGTTGGCATCCTCTGGTTTTACATAATGTTGTGTCATATAGTGTATTATTACATATACAATAGCTAGAAATAGTTATGAAAATATTGTAACATATACATGCAAACACTGATTCATACTCACAGTTGACACCCTGGTATATTACGGCAATGAATAGGGTAACGCACAGCACTGCCAAGGACACTATTATGCATTTGCAACAGCGGCGGCCATATTCTTTGCCTTGACTCCGCAACCTGTCTGATGGAAATATGTTGTTCAAATGTTTCCAAAAACTCTTCATGTGCACATTGCAATTACACCCTGCCTCTGTGACTACACCTACAAGCTGGAAACTAATTAACTGGTACGTGTCATTGTATTACGCATTAATATAGCTAGATATAAAGTTAAATAATTTAATCAGCTTAAAACCATTGTTGTTTCAGTCACAGTTCCCAAAGAGCTAAAATGAAATTGGACAACAGGATATTTTCCCCTTCATAAATAATCTTTCATTTCAATTTTGCATTTCACCTGGCAATCCAGTCACATATATCACAGCATTGTACACATAAATACACAATTTGCACCAAAGTCAGGGGGGCAGGATTTCTAGCTGAATTGCAGTCACTTGACTCTGATCGGGCACCTTACTTCTTGCCTCTTCTTGAGTCGAATAATAGTCAGATTCATCATCTGTAAAAATAAAAGTAGAGATGGGAAATCAGGCATAATAGAGTCACTGGTGTTACAACAAACAAATGTCATCAACTTATCGCATAAGTTTTTGCTCAGATGACTACTTTTCAATAAATTTGAATTAAACATAACTATATACATTCATCCACTGCCTTCTGTGCACTGGGACAAATGTGAAACAAATATAGAATATATCATGGAATTGATATTACAAAAAATGTACAGTTATCTAATCTAAATAAACAAAAGATCTCAACCGCGTCTATGTCGGTAAAGTTAGTTTGCGGTTTGTTTTTCATGTTGTAAACGGCCATAAAAACCTAATATATGCACGAAAGAATACGAATTATGGCTTCTTGTGATAGTCCTGGTGTGTGAATTCAGAAAGTACAAATACATTACGTAAAAACAGCCTTTAATGCATTTTGGCCATTTATTTTCATTAGCTTCTCACGTCAAAACAGTGCCAGCTTTCACAAGTCATATTTTAAGAGTTATGACTGATTAAAGGCCCTAAAAATGACCAAAATGACCTCAGACTGACCAAACCAAAAATTTCAAACCTTCATCTACCCTATAAGGACTCACCCTGATTTGTGGAAGTTTTCACAAGTCATATTTTATGAGTTATGACTGATTAAAGTACAGTAGTATTTATGGTGGCTCAAGGTCTCAATCTAGGTGCATTTAAAGGCCCTAAAAATGACCAAGATGACCTCTGACTGACCAAAACAAAGCTTTCACACCTTCATCTACCTTTCAACAACTCATACTTATTTGTGAAAGTTTTCACAAGTCATATTTCATGAGTTATGAAATATTTATAATAGTTTTGACTGATTAAAATCCGATTACATGAGAAAAGCCTGACAGTACATGGAAATTCAGTTGTGATGAACAGTTTGCACAAACTTTTAATTTCACAGTTTTGCACTCAACCCTACTGCTATGAACTGATCATGGTCCTGCAGTGGAGAACTTCATCCTGAAAATTTATTCAATTAATTACAACAATTCCTGATAACACAATGTGACTTTTTTTTTCTATATCATTCAGTTGTATCACTGTCACAACAATCTGGTTACTATTTTTCTTCCTAAATGCCCTCTAATGGAGTTTTTCCTTGCCCCCATCACACCCCTTGCTTGCTCTTTAGGGATACATTAGGGAATATTAATTACTAGTTACTATTAAATTAGTAAACTATTGAGAGTCTACTGACATCTCTGTTAAGCTGCTCTGTGATACTGTCTATTGTTAAAAATGCTATATAAATTAATCTGAATTGAACTGAAATATAGCAACACACTTAAAAAAAGTTTTCTGTCGGTAAACTACCTGTTCTCGCTAAATCTGAACCTTTTCTGATTACGATCCCCAAAACTTTTTTTATGCTGTCTGCCCACAGCCATATCTCAACCTTAATTATCTCAACATGCATCTAAGACAAGTGTTTTCTCGTGAAGAGTAAATTCGTTATTGCTGTATCTGATATTGTAAGCAGTGTGACCTTCAATCAAGCACTGTCAATCATTCTGCTTTTGGTTGGTAAATCTTTTTTTTGAGAAAATAATTTATAGATTTGTGGACACTAAACATAATCTTAATTGTACGAGTGCAGTAAATGCTTTCAGTGATCATGCAGCTACTTCAACCGCTTTTCAGATAACATAAACATCTCTAAGATAACATGTCTTAGCTAGATTATAAAAATATTACTTTCCTACAAATATTTGCTTTATTCTAAAGTATAAAAATGTTTTAATAGCAGCACCAAAGAGAAAATGATCAACACAGCCAAAAGAGAATCTCCTCCAATGTGACTTCAACTCTTGCAAATCCAGCGCAAAGCTCCACACCAGATGCAACCGAATGGCAGGACTTTGTAGGTGATGAAGTGGCAACCCTAAATCCAGGAAAAAGTATTAGAATGGAAAAATATAGATATAAAAATTTAAAGACAAATACCAATAAATAGAAGTAAAATATAATAAAATTAAATTAAATATAGCACACATGTTTAGTAATGCACTAGAAATGCCGTGTAGATAAGGAGAAATATTGCACAAATGTAATAGTCAGATATTGCACTTGGAACATTAGTTGAGAACAGTAGTGTTGTAAAATATTATTTAGCAGGAACTACTCATTGTTCAAGTCCCGTACTGAAAACATTACAGAGAAGAGTTATATAATTTAATGGCCATTGGGAGAAAAGATCTCCTGTGGCGCTCTGTAGAACACCTGGTCATAATCAGTCTCTGGCTGAAATTGCTCCTTTGATCGGAGAGAACTCTGTATAGCGGGTGAGAAGGACTGTTCAGGATTGTGCGTGTTTTGGACAGGATCCTCCTCCTTGCCACGACATCAACAGAGTCTAGATCCACGCCCAGTACAGATCCGGCCCTTTTAATTACCTTATTCAGTCTGTTTCTGTCTGCTGCTTTCATGTTACAGCCCCAACAGACCACAGCATAAAAGACAACACTCGCCACAAACGATTCGTAAAACATCTGAAGAACGGTATTACAGATGTTGAATGATCTGAGCCTTCTCAGAAGGTGCAACCTGCTCTGTCCTTTCTTGTAGAGTGCCATAGTGTTAACTGACCAGTCCAGTTTGTTATCCAGATGCACTCCCAGGTATTTGTACTCTGAGACCATGTCCACTGTTTCACCCTGGACAGATATAGGAGTCACAGGGGTTCCACTCTTCCTAAAGTCGACCACTAGCTCCTTCGTCTTCTTGATGTTGAGTTGTAGATGGTTACGCTCACACCAGAAAACAAAGTCATCCACCATAGTCTGGTACTCGGAGATGTCACCGGAAAACTTTGCCTTGGCCCTTGACCATAAAACATTTACTGTATAACCAAGACAAAGCAATTTCCCTTTGGGATTAATAAAGTTCTTTGAATCTTGAATCTTGAATCAAGTCACACATAACAGGGAAACGCAGGGAGGTCAGACACCGCGGACAGTAAGTTACACACAGTGGATATAATTCACACAACGGTAAAAGACACGCGAGGATCGGACCGGGTACAGCCAAGACACAGGCAAGGGCACACATGACAACCGGGAACACAACAGGGATCAACACTAACACACACAGTGGCTGCAGTGTCCCAGCAGGCTCCTGCAGCATGATTGGTCTATCAAATTGGTGAAAACAACCTTTTTTAAAATTTTTTTTTGTATTTTCCGTCTTAAATCAAAAAACGAATCTTCCGTTTCTATGTTTTTCAACAATAAAATCCCAGTACTCATGCAAAGACATATTGTCCGGCTCCCCATTAGATCGCGAAGTAATGCTACACGTATGTGGCAAGAATTTCACGGATAAAACAAAATTGTTAACGGCCGGACCCCCACACCTATACAGATATTTTGTTTTCCGATTTTTGTTTATAATCATACTAAATAAAATAAGATAGCTGGGCATTTTCTTTTCGTTTTCCGATCTTATCATCAAAACCAAAAACAAGAAACGGGTCGTTCCCAATTTCGAATTTTCCAGTATACAGTGGCACCTCGGATTGCGAGCATAATTCGCTCCGGAAACGTGCTCGTAATCCAAAGTACTCGTATATCAAAGCGAATTTTCCCATTAGAAATACTGGAAACTCAGATGATTCGTTCTACAACCCAGAAATATTCATATAAAAATGATTAATACAAAATATAGAGTAAAAACACATAAAACAAATTAACCTGCAGTTTACCTTTGAAAAGAATCGTGAATGGTGTGAGGGAGACGAGAGAGGGGAGAAGAGGTTATTTCGTAGGACGACTTCCACATTAACTATACGGCAGGGTTATTCAACTCACGGTCCTTGAGGTCCGAGAACTGCTGGTTTTCCAGCCTTCCTTTATCTGTCAGTCAGGTGTGAAGCCTCTGACCAATCGGAATCAGTAATTATTAAACAACTACCTAGGAGAACTGAAAACACGGCCTGGATTTGGAATCGAGGTCCAGAGTTGAAGAACCCTGCTATACGGAATCACTGTAGGCTCACTGGAATCTTTTTCTTTTTGTGCGACTTTAACAAGGAACCTATCCAATGACAACCGTTTTTGCCTCCTTCTCAATTTCGCGGAAATGTGACATTGCATGTCGTTAAACAGATTCATCGCTCATACTGCTACGGCCTTATTCGGGTGGTGTTTTTCACTATATTTTGACTATACTAGTGAGGTACGCCGACTGAGACCGAGCATGGGAGACGATTACCCACAATCCCACAGCGAGAGAGAGAGAGAACCATCGGCTCAGCTATGATCACGTGACGCTCGGCAGACAGCGTATACATAATAATCGTATTGCAAGATCTCGCTCTTTTATCAAGTTAAAATTTATAAAAAAAAATTTGCACATCTTGCCAATCACTACAACGAAATTTCATTGGCCCTCCCTATATACCTAATATTTCATTGTTTGCGTGTGCACTTAATTCACATTCAATAGCCTAGCAGTCTTGTTTATAGTCACTGGAGATGAATGGACACAGTGCAATTATTAATAAATACGTATAAAAACACATAATATGAAAGTTATATGGTGTGATTGTCCCCAACAGTTTAATGCTTAAAGCACACTTTACCTGACATGCCTGTATTGTTTATAAGTTTATAATTATTAGTCCATTAATTCTATCTTTCGTACTTTAAATGGCCACAGCGCACTTATAATTAGTAACGGGAAAGTATTGCTAGATCTCACAAAGGTTTTGCGGGATCTCGCAAAAGTCCATCTTTCGTTTCCAACCATCGTATTTTTCCCCTGCATGTCCATTATGGGGTTCCATATGAATTCAACATGAAAATGTTTATTTAAAAAAAAATAAAAAGTTTTCGCATTATTTGAATTTTGAAATCGCTTACGACATTATACATTCTAGAATTTAAGTGATTTTGTGGTGAGCGCAGCCGAGAAGTAGTCATTTCTTCGCGGATAGTACATGAGAGATGGAGTTCCTGAAATTTCTTCCCAGTTTCAGTTCTCGTAAAGTGCTCTGCGCAGCTGGAATGGTGGTTGCGGCTGCCGGTACTGCGTATCTAATCCGGCGGCTCTGGGAAAGGGCACAACCGGAGGAAGGTAGCAGGATAATTATCGTCTATATGGATAATTTACATATGCATTTCACTTCTCGAAACAAACTACAATTTCACTTAAATAACCATGTGCTAAAAAAAAAGGAGTGGGCAGTGGTGGCTTAATGGTTAGGGAAGCGAACTTGCACTCGAACGATTGCTGGTTCGAATCCCTAACCAACAAAACCCACCCCAAGCAATGCTGATTTAGCTGCCCCCTACTATGTCACGATTTCACACATGTGTTAATTGTAGAGGGCACATTTTGTTGTGGTGTGTCAACACTGATCACTGAATTCTAATGCACTAACAATAATGAGAATGAGTTCTAATGAAATATATGTGTATCATATATGTTGTACAGATTCTTAGATGAGATATTTTTTAAATTTCCTTTCAAAAAATGCACATAGAACTTTGGGTACCATTGTCTGATCAGCGCCATTAAATCCACTGAATACCCCATGAGGTCCCAACCATTAGTTCCAAAGCACTGCTACAAAGAGTTAGCAAGAGCATCATAAACTTGACAGTTAATATCATTTAGCAATATTATAAGCTAAATGGTAGGACGCTGAATATTCTGTTTCAGACCATCAGCATCAGGAGTCATCAGATGACTTTATTGCTGATGAAGACCCGGAGGTCATCATGGATGAGGTACAGTTACACCATGATTTATCAGTTGTTAACGATTGATGGCTGGCTGAAGGAAAAATAGATGAAAACATTATTTTAACTGATTGTGGTTTATGTGTAAAGATCATGGATGAAGAAAAGGGACAGCTTATGACTTGGGACTTCAGTCCATTGTTCTTTGGACCAGTCGCAGAAGTCAGAGTAAGAGCCACCAAATATTCACTGCTCCTCTTCTGATTGGTTCAAAAAAGTTGTGATGTTTATTGGAATATCTTCAGTTTTGATGTACTGTGATGCCAAGAATAAGTAATCATGAGTTTTCTTATAGCCAGTATTACTATTATTACAATTTTAATTTATCTATGTGAATACAAACTTAAAGT